CACATGATATGTAGATCAGATACTGCTTTTCAGAATGACGTAAAAGTCACCCGAACATTCTGTATGATCATTTTCCGATAAATCATTGACCAAGCTACAACGGATATATTTCCACCTGTTAATCAAAATGGTAAACAGTGACCAGGTGTAAATACATACATGATGTTCAGGTAGCCATGCCACCAACAATTAATAGGAAAGCATGTCGCAAATATAAAGGTCACCTGGCATGGGCAGAACAGGTAATTGGAATATAACGATGTTGTTTTCACAACAATAAGTTTCAGAAAAGATTCAATCTTATATACAGATAAATCTTCTACTTTTTTTTGTTATAAAATACACTTTTCCAAGAAGTTTTCTGATCGTCTGCAAATCCAACTGAATTGGTCATCGATATCGCCAGAATAAGTACGCTAAAGGCAGTCACTGTGACGAGGACCGCCAACAGCCAAATTCGCGAGACATGAAGAACACCAAACAATTGTGTTTTCAGGATTCTCCTTCGAAAAGAAAAGATCGGAATGTATTTTGCTGTTTTGAACCCATTGATATTTAATTTTCAAACTCAAACTTTTATCATTACCGGTTCAATTCGCATGGATGTCACCTTGTAAATTCCTGCCGGTTAATAGTATCATGCGACCTCATGTTGTTTTGACACATTCCTACTATCATGATTGAAGAGTTCAGCATGTTTTTACCCAAGAACGACATTTTAACCACAGATAAATGCGATGCAATTCTTTGTTATGTTTCCCAATACATGGTATTTATCAATTCACAACGTAACGTCCTGAAAAGTTGGGCCTACTTTACTCGAGTTTATTTATCCGATTCTATAGTATAACACTGACTTAAACTTGCAACTTTTCGTAATTGCTTAATTGGCAATGCAATCAGGGATTATACAACGAAATTTAGCAGTTTTATTGCTGCGAGCATATTTCATAACATTTCCGAAAATCCTCGAAACATTTACGAGAAATGGTCACGACCAATGACTGGTCTTGGATTATTCTTTTAGTATCGTGTACATCCCTTTCTTGACACTTCATTTTCCCCTTACAAAAGTGTGCACTATACGCAAATATTAACGGTAGTCGTTGGTCGGACATGAAATATCCAAATCAGTCAAAAGCAATTTATAATACCACAGTTTACCCCTTCGGGAACCTCAAATGTGCCTGATTCATACTCGGAACATCTTAAGGTTATATGTAATTCATGTAGGAAATTTGGAACGCCTTTAGGTTTTATCCTGTTCCTGTTTAAAAAGAGCTTGTAATTAGCAGAAGCAAGACACTTAACAGCCCAAGACAACTGAGGTCAAAATCTGGGACTGAAACCGAAATTAATAGTCCCCACTGGGGTTCCCCAAGGGGTGACTGAAAAACCCATTCAATCCCTATATAAGTAAAATGTCAAGACTACAGATTGTGAGACATTCACAGGATTATAATTTTGAAACCAAATGGCCTATACATGTAACTCAACTACCAATCAACTACTTTTCATTGTTATTTGCAAACAAATCTTTAACCTTTAAAGTGGATCGTATATAATACCACTCTATACCCTTGGTATAGATAATCAAAGTTTCCATTTGCTTAAAGGGACATCACAGTGAAGTGTATATTTTTTCGTCTTTTTTTTTTAAACTACAGAAACATATCATGTGAGATTCCTTATGGAAAATAAAGATCAGATTTGGCTGATAAAGATTCATAACAAGAGGCCCATAGGGCCTGCATGGCTCACCTGGATATCTAAGCAATCATGGCAAAATATTCACCAAATGAGATCCAAGGGAATATGCCAGACCCCAAGGCCAATCCTTGTAGCATATCTGTATTAGATTTTTCATGCCCAGCAATTTTATGTATGGTTATGGGGTGGGGATCTCAACTGTTTCCAAGCTGTGACTCAGAAACTAGGTCCCTAGGGTTGTGGCCAGACCCCAGGATCAATTCGAATATCATGACTGCATTTGTCTCTATTTGCCCAGCATTTATATATATAGTTTGGGGTAGGGATCTAAACCGTTTCAAAGTTATGACACAGGGGTTAAGTCTGCAAGGGTGGGGCAGACCCTGGGATCAATTCTAATATCATGACTGCGTTTGTCTCTTTATGCCCAACAAATGTATATATAGTTTTGGGGTGGGGATCTTAACCATTTCAAAGTTATGACCTAGGGGTTAAGTCTCCAAGGGTGGGGCAGTCCCCAAGGCCATCCTCGAAGCATATGTGCATTCATCTCTTTATACTCAGCAATTGTATATATGGTTAAAGGGTGGCAATCTCAACTGTTTCCATGCTGTGACTAAGAAACTAGGTACCTAGGGGTTCGGTCAGACCCCAGGGTCAATTATAATAGCATGACTGCATTCGTCTCTTTATGCCCAGCACTTGTATATATAGTTTTGGGGTGGGGATCTCAACCGTTTTAAAGTTATGGCCCAGGGACTATGTCTCCAAGGGTGGGGCCAGACCCTAGGGCCATCCTGGAAGCAAATGTGCATTCTTCTCTTTATATACTTAGCAATTGTATATATGGTTATATGGTGGGGATCTCAACCATTTCCAAGCAATACACTTTTTTTGGTCCCACCCCTTAGCCCCCACCATTTGTACAATTTTGAATTCCTGCCTCCCATGAATGCTTCCGACCAAATATGATCGATATCCATGGCATAATTCTACAGAAGAAGTCGTTTATAGCAATATAGCCAAATTTCCCCCTTTTGGCCCCGCCCTCAGCCCCCTGAGGGGTTAACCCAACCATTTGTACAATTTTGAATCCCCACCACCTAGGGATGCTTCCAGACAAATTTGGTTAAATTCCAATCAGTGGTTAAGAAGAAGTCGTTTAAAGAAATTGTTGACGGACAGACGACGGACCGGCGACAGACGCCACGGTATGACATAAGCTCACCTTGGTCATTCGGACCCGGTGAGCTAATAAGTCAAGGTCATTCATATGAACAAACTTTGTAGCCCTTCATCCCAGCATGCTACTGGCCAAAAATAAGCACCCTAGGCCTCTTGGTTATTCAGAAGAAGTTGTTTGAAGGTTTTAAGCATATTTGACTCCTGTGTCCTTGAATATAGGTCAAGGTAATTCATTTGAACAAACTTGGTAGCCCTTTATCCCAGCAAGCTGCTGGCGTAAAATCATCACCCTAGGCCTCTTGGTTATTCAGAAGAAGATGTTTGAAGGTTTTAAGCATATTTGACCCCTGTGACCTTGAAAATTGATGAGGTCATTTATTTGAACAAACTTGGTAGCCCTTTATCCCAGCAAGCTGCTGGCCAAATATCATCACCCTAGACCTTTTGGTTATACATGAGAAGTTGTTTAAAGTTTTTAACATATTTGACCCCTGTGACCTTGAAAATTGATGAGGTCATTTATATGAACAAACTTGGTAGCCCTTCATCCCAGCATGTTACTGGCCAAATATAAATACCCTAGGCCTCTTGGTTATTCAGAAGAAGTTGTTTAAATGTTTTGAACATATTTGACCCCTGTGACCTCGAATATAAGTCAATGTCATTCATTTGAATAAACTTGGTAACCCTTCATCCCAGCATGTTACTAGCCAAATATAAGCACCCTAGGCCTCATGGTTCCTGATAAGTTGTTTAAAGTAAAAAGTTGACGCTGGACGGACGACGCACCATGGCATAAGCTCGATCACTTGCCCGAAGGGAGGGCAAGTGAGCTAAAAGTACTGTTTAAACTTATTTCAAGGGTATGAATTTCCATTCAAGATTTTTTTCAGTGCCATGATTATATATACATTTCATGGCCATACATTTACATTTCATGGCCATGAATGAAGTTATAACATGATTAATACTTGTAAATTCAAGGGCCTGAGTGCGGTAACTTTTCAGGTATTTGTCATGGGGTGTATATATTCACAGAAAGATCATGGGTTTATCATGGTTTTACTTTCATGGGTATTTCATGGGTATTTTCATGGGGAAATATCCAGTAGTGGATGCAGGCCAATGTTTTTTTTTCTTTATGATATATATTTTAGTTTTAGAAGGATTAGTGTCCTATTGACAGCTATTTAGGTCATTTAAGGATGTGCCTCCATTTGTGAAAAAGTATGCATTTAATGTTTGTATGGGTTAAGTTTGGTAATAAGTCAAGTATCCATTATATAGTCCTGTCTTTGGTCTTGGTCCCTAAGTAAAGAATCTATTTTATGAAAGAAGAAAAAAATGAATGAGAGCCCTCCTGTGTGAGGGACACCATATTGTTTAGGGGACTGACTCCAGGGCTCCCCAACCCTGGCAGTTCCTATACATTTATTCATTTATTTATTTATTCATATATATATGTATATACTTATCAGTACAATTTATATATATAATATTTGGCTGGGGGAAATGAAATATTGGGAAAAAAATTAAAAAATCTACAAGTATTTTATGAAATGGTAACTACTAAGCCCCTAAGCGAAGCACCTTCTGTAGTTTTGTTTTGGATAAATAGATCTAGAGCCATACCTTTCAATATCAAAAGAATTAATATCATGGTCATGTGCTGTATTTACTAGCAGATGGCCAGGCAGACAACCTGATTCCAACATATCACACACCATCAACTTGTTCTAAAGGATATAAGATATTTTACCGGTGATAAGCCCAGGGCACCTGTATGTGAAAACATGTCAATAGTAGGGGGTGCACTTATTACCGAATATGAAGCTTTGATTTACTGGTCATACGCCCAGACTTGACAGTGTGGGCTGCCATTTTGGTTCGTCAACTGACCAACTCCGCACTGGTAGAAGTTTGTATTGTATATATAGAACGTAACTGTTATGTTTCATATCGGTAATAATTTGAGATTGTGGAAATAAGTATCCAGAAATCAAGTGATCAGGGTAATGTGGTTAAATAGTATAAACATTGTGTGTACATTTAAAACAATATACTGTATATATGTGTACATTTAAAACAATGTAATAAACACTTACTCCTCTAAGAACATGTCCACCTTCTCCTTACTTCTCCACCCACACAGGTGTAACACTCTCGTCCTACAAACACAGCATTAATACACTGTACATGTACTATAAATATTACATCATTGGTATAACGTATATTCTCCTTACTTCTCCACCCACACAGGTGTAACACTCTCGTCCTACAAACACAGCATTAATACACTGTACATGTACAATAAATATTACATCATTGGTATAACGTATATTCTCCTTACTTCTCCACCCACACAGGTGTAACACCCTCGTCCTACAAACACAGCATTAATACACTGTACATGTACAATGAATATTACATCATTTGTATAATGTATAGTTCTCCTTACTTCTCCACCCACACAGGTGTAACACTCTCGTCCTACCAACACAGCATTAATACACTGTACATGTACAATAAATATTACATCATTGGTATAGCGTATAGTTCTCTGGAATTAACCATCTTATAAAGGAATTATTACGCAGTACTATTAATCCATCTTTCATATACATTTGTAACAACTTCAATATTTCTTAACTTAACTGAAACCTCTTCAGGGGAAAGTTGGGTAGTTTGGTAGGTTTCACATCAGATGTTAAAAACAGTTAGAAAAATCTAAAATTATTGATGATTCAATCTGGATTACCCTTCCATCTATTCATTAAATTCAATCTGGATTGCCTCCCAATAAAATTTTATTATGTCCATGTACTAACCCTCTGGTATAAGTAATTCTAGAATCCCCTTACGGCTGTGTACAACAGTCTGATGTTATGGTGTACATTCTGGTTCAATCACTTATACTTTACCTTTCCTCACTGGTGTAAATCTTCATCTTCCTCAAGTGATTTAGTATGTTGCCGTCCACTTCCTGCCAGTGACAGTACTGAGCGCCATTACCGATGTCGCCGTCCTGTCGTAGGAGACCTTTGATCCCCGTACATCGGGATATATTGATCTTGGTTTGTGCTGTTCTGCACTCTTCTACCAACTGTCTGGTTACTGATATAAAATTAAGGTTTGGTTTGGTTTAGTATTGTTTAACGTCCTATCAACAGCTACGGTCATTTGAGGACGGCCTCCCCTGTGTGCAAGATGCATGCATGTAGTGTATGCGTATGTGTTTTGGGAGGCTGCGATATGTTCGTGTTTGTCACCTTATGATAGCGTTGAACTGATGCCCAATTTATAGTGCTACCTCACTGAAACATACTGCCAAAGACACCCAGCAGGACACCCCAGCCAGTCACATTATACTGACAACGAGCGAACCAGTCGTCCCACTCCTAAATTGCTGAGCGTTAAGCAGGAGTAGAAACTACCATTTTTATAAAACTAAGGATAAAACAAAAGTGATAAAAAAACGATCCTTTATTTTTTGGGTTACACAGTGGATATAAGATAATATTTCGTGTCCCCCTTAAATACCTAACACAGTGTGGAAGGATACAGGACAGCCATCGCCACATCCCCCTTAAGTACGGCTCTTCATTCACTACATGGGCGTTGTGCTCCACATTAATTGTCTGCAATGATAAGAGAACATTAATGATGATGCTGAAACATGGAAACAGGAAAAATCATATTAAGTCCCAAAAACGAAAGTAAAAAAAAATTGGTATTGTTCAATTGTTTCCTTGCAGTAAAATGTCAAGGGATCTACTATTGAGTGACAATAACATGTCCACATAAACTGATTCACACAGTCGGTCCTCAGATGCCCAACGGGACAAAAGCTACACTGAGCGATAAAAAGTTTTCTAAAACTAAACATTACTCAGGCCCTGAAGAGGCCCACTGTTCAGGTGAAACAGGTTATCACAACTAGCTTGTTGTAATTAAATTACTTCTACTTCTGCTACTTCTACCCGATAATCGACCTACTTCATCGTATTGAAGATCATGTCGATGTTTGGGTTGTATTTATGTACAGGAAAAGAGAGTGAGAACAGAGCTAATATATTATAGACTGTTTGTATTACTATCGCTGTAATGTACTATAAAAGTTTCTAGAAATTTTAATATCGCTTTCTTTCATTTTACTTGCAAAGTCTTGTTTGGTGATTCTACCTTTCAGTAAACATATACAAAGGACACAATATCTTTTATCAAAATTTGTTGAGACAATGAAAAAATGAAAGGCTTCAAACATGATTTTTTTTGAAAATACACTGTAATAAGAAATGTTTTCTTTCATCTTGAAACCGTTATTCGAGGTTCATTCTAAGACACAAAGTATGGTATAGTAGTATAAATATTAAGTATACTCTATACTTGTGCATTCTCAGACTCAAGATAACATATGAAATGTGAGAAAGATCAATCTGGGACTGAAAACAAACTTGAACTGTCAAAATCCATTATGGCTTTCGAGCGGCCATCTTGTTTTTCCGATTGGTTTCAAATGAAACATGCACAACTATACTGACCAAGCGAACCTACATACGAACTTAAGAAAAGTCTGTCAAGAACTTCTTGATAAGTAGTGATAACAAATTAGAACTGATAAAGTCCAAGATGACTGCCTTGAGGCCATTATTTAAGGATGTACAAATGGACCATGGACCCGGGACCAGTGGTGTTTGGTGATTTGATTATGATAAGTAAGTGAATATGGTTGGTGTAAGCTTTCATCGATCACAGCAGCTGTATTCACTGCAAAACAGTATTTACCTGTGTGCCATATCCCTTGGTGACTCGCTGTCGGATCCTCTGTGATATGTCAATGGTCGGACTTTTCTCTGAGGTTACAACATCTATCATTCTTTTACCACAGGCCCAGGACAGGTGAAACTGGGACGACCACATCTACAATATAGGTTAGTTATGTACCGTATTACTACAACAAAGGTAAGTTACACCTGTAGATTCCACATCTAAAATACAGGTAAATTACACCTGTAGATACCACATATACAATACTGGTAAGTTACACCTGTAGATACCACATATACAATACAGCTAAGTTACACCTGCAGATACCACATATACAATACTGGTAAGTAACACCTGTAGATACCATATCTAAAATACAGGTAAGTTACACCTGCAGATATCACATATACAATACAGGTAAGTTACACCTGTAGATACCACATATACAATACAAGCAGGTAACAACTGTACAAAACACATGATGGAGTGACCAGGTAAATACCTACCACAGGAATTCTCTCGTGTACAGTAATGTCTTTAACTGCCCCAGTCTGTGACACAGTCAACATGCGGTTCTCATCTCTCGGGTGCCAAGAAAAGGCTGTGCAATGGTTGGAAAAACCTGAGAACAAGAAATACAAAAAATCAATACCATTTATCTACTACCTTGGTATTTAGTATTAAATCCAGGATAATAATAATCATATCTAAACTATGGATTGCCTGGTTTAGATATGATTTTCAAAGGTTGAGGTCAAAGGTCAAACCATAGGTCACAGCGACCTACTTTTGTACTTGACACTCCACAATCCCAAGATGTATTTTGCATACCAACTCTGGTTACTCCAGGTGAAATAGTATAGAATAGAAAATGTCTGTAAGACACAAATGCCCCCGCTCATAGATGGGACGGGACGCAACACAACAGGGCGGGACGGGATGGACATGGGCAACACTGGATGGGACGGGATGCAACACAACAGGGCGGGACGGGATGGACATAGGCAACACTATATGTCCCCCATTTTATTGCGGGGGCATTTTATGCCCATGTCAAAGTCTTAGGAAAGATGGATGGACGAGCGCAAACCTATAGACTCCCCAGGAACCAGCTGGGGACCTAAACTGTAAACTCAATTGGATCCATGGCTATATATGATTAAACATTCTGTCAGCACATTCAATCCTCCACACAGATTTCATTAATATCATATAAAGTGTGTACTTACATGAGATATTTCTCTCTATTATAGCAGGGTCCAACTCGTCAGTACCTGTTTCAACAGACAATGGAAGTAAATTAGCTTGTGTTTACCTACAGGCAGATATCTATAGAGACTTACTATGGTAAACGTATTATTGTGTTACATCTATAAGCTCTCTCTTTTGGAATGTACGTTAACAACCATTTTGATGTTAACACAATCCATTGCAGCTGGTCATTAGGTGTGGATGGACATCATTTAGATTATACACATACCTACCCCTCACCCTTCCCCTACAAATTGACAGTAAAACCTCTACATCAAGATTTTATTTCATACACGATGTATGCATAAAAAGTGTTGCAACGTTTTGAGACCAACTGCTCCGTTTGTCAAGCTATGACTGAGTGAGTGATTTGTAACTTTTTGTACAACGATGTGACGAAATTGGGAACTTTATCTGTTGGTCTACTATATGGGAACCTCTATTTACCGGATTCTTGGTCTTCTGTAGGCTGTCTAGATTGCTGGTCACCTAACTACCATAAGATATTGACAACAAAGCTTTCTTTACAATCATTTTATATAGATATCCTATTGACACATTCACCCAACAATTCAAATCTTTCTCTAGACAGAGCCTGTGTTGTAAGGCTGGCCATAATATGATAGTAATATATACTGATAGTTGCATATATCATAATGAATGTAGACTATTTATATGTATTTCTTATGCATCAAAGTCTATAATCAACCTGGCTAACATCGGTCTCTTCAACTAATCAGAACAGAAGAAATTCATATACCAGCCAACTAGAGTGGACCTGGGTTCAAATCTCAAAGGCAATACATGCGGCAGATAGAAGCTGGATTTCATATAGGGATTGAGCGGCGTTTTTTTTAGAAAACTTATACCGGTATGAGCGCAAATCAGTGACATCCATATTGTATGAAGCCTGTTATGGCTTTGTGTTTAGCAGTTTACATTGTAATATGGATGTAACTGATTTGCGTTCATACTGGCATGGAAATTTAAAACAACACCGTTCAATCTATATATTGACTTTTTTACTATAGAACAATTGTTTCATTTTATTTATTTGTTCTTAAATTATTTACTTATTTACTGCGTTTTGCATATGGGTCGTCCTTTAAACGACATTGGTGGAACAGTCCTATTTGAATAAAATCGGCGCCAATAATTAACCGTAGTCATCTGAGTGTTTGATGCAGGGGCATTCTCAATGTTATCCGAAGCGAAGCAACAAGACTCTCATTGAACAAGATTAATCTATGATGTCATAAGTAAACCATGTGTTATGTCAAGAGATTTTATGCTTTCATGCTCAAATGAAATGCATTTCTGCTGGTAATGTTCATATAGTGGGTTGAAGCGCAAATGTAAATATATAGTGTAGGGCAGGACTTACCCATAGGTATGTGAATATATAGTGTAGGGCAGGACTTACCCATAGGTATGTGAATATATAGTGTAGGGCAGGACTTACCCATAGGTATGTGACGAATATCATACAACTTTACAGCAGATGTCTCCTTGGTCAGCACAGCTAAGAATCCCATTCTGTACAGCAAAAGTATATTATACATAGCATACAAACACATGACTGTGTTAGGTCCATATACAAAATGTGAAATAAACTTGAATTTTTGCTTAGCCAATTATGTATGACCTCACTTTTCATGATGTTCATGAGGGTCAAGTCAAAACTGGTCAGTCTTGCTATTCATTGTTCACTCACCTGGTTGGACACCAACCAATCTGGACTACTGGCTTTGCTTCTGGAAATGTCATTATCTAGATTAAAGGTCAAGGACAAATAAATGATCATCACTTAAGGTCGAATCCATATTAGTTCTTGTGTAAAACTAGAAAATGTCTGTAAGACATAAATGCCCCCGCTGCCATGTGAAATTAGTTTCAGTGTTCTATAAAAAGTTACAACCACTTTGATCTTGATACCCTGAAACATGCACACACAAAAGGTACTACACTTAAAGTTGATTTTAATATTCATATGTTTCTTTCTGTATGTTATTACCAACTCCATAACATATTGAATGAAGTTGCTAAGTGTTTAAATTGAATCAGTTGATGATTTTCTATATATAGCAACAGTGACCTTGGCCTTGACCTTGGAACCCTGAAACACAACCATGTCTGAAGTATACTCATACTTGACCTTTGCATAAAGTTTGACCAAAATCCATGAAAGAATGAAGTTGCTAAGTGTTTAAATTGAATCAGTTGATGATTTTCTATATATAGCAAGTGTGACCTTGGCCTTGACCTTGGATCCCTGAAACACAAAGATGTCCGAAGTATACTCATATTTGACCTTTGTATAAAGTTTGACCAAAATCTGTCAAAGAATGAAGTTGCTAAGTGTTTACATAGAATCGGGACGGGATGGGACGGGACAGAAATGGGCAACACTATATGCCCCCCATTTTATGGCGGGGGCATAACAAATAAAGCTATACAGTGCAATGCGACAGGAAGGTCTTATTATCGGGATTCATGGAATATGTATGTTACCGATTCGTGTTCATACCAGCATGAAATTGAAAAAAATTCTATTCAATCCTTATTTAATATGCATCTACACCAGACTTTATGAAAAAAACTTATGTGGAAGTAAACCTTCAATTTTTCAAAATATCACATCTTCCCACTCGGAAGAAACTTCACCTTTGATATATTACAAGACTATATTGCTATACGTTTGTACACGATTTATCAGAGTCGAGTCCAAGCCTCATCGTCAGAACTATTGTTACTGTACACTACACAGAGAACATGTCAAGGATACAGGTTTATCAAAATTCCTGATGTCCCACACAGAAACCTGATTCTGAAATAAAACAAATGGACACAGATCAGTAACTATAAGTTAAGATATAAACAAGTCAATTTAGTACTTCACAAACAGGGTGAAGTATCCTATTTATATTGTGTATGTACATGTACATCATATTAACATCAAATAGGGATTCATAGAAAACAAGCATAGTGTTTGTATTCAGAACAAGTCATACAGAAGCTACATAAAAGTTTAAGCAGAAGAAATCTACCAATATATAAAAAAGTTCTGTTATCAAAATTTTAAAAGACAGCTTTCTATTAAGATATTCATACTGACACAACCTTAGGATTTATAAACAAACATTTCTATTGCAACAGAAGGACATTTTCAGAACTTTTCACATTAATACACAAATGTTCAGGGCTCAGATGGCGTTAGTATTCTGGTTTCTACAGATCACATCCACAATCAAACTCAGCCTCAAACATGTTAACTCTCTCACCCCCATGTAACTTTAGTTGACTCTCCCATGCATTGATCTGGGTGAGTCCATTATGGTCTACAGTGGTGAAAGGGTTAATATTTTTATTGATATTCTGATTTCCACAGGTTTCCAGATTCCACAGAGTTTGGTTTGAACAGGGTAACAGTTTGTTGTAAGTTTGCTCTTTTGAGATAGTTGAACCAAAGCTTTGGTAGAAAACTTACCTCATGGTAGGAGGCTAGTCTATAATCGTTCTTGGGGTCCATACATATACCATAAACACTCTTGGTGTTCGTAGTCAGGTGCTGTCTGCTTGTCTCTGGCGAAAGAGGACAGTGATTGTATCAAGATGTTGTCTTAATTTTTTCAGTTTGTGAGTTGATCAATAAATTATGAAAACTCTGAGAGAATCAAACACAGACAACAAGTCAAAGGACTTGGTGCATTATGGGTAATTTTTGGCCTCATACAAAGTGAAAATTTCAACTTGAATTAATTTAACATTTTCTATTATTAACATCATATTTGTTTATTGGGGCCATCTTTCTTGGTGCATTTGTAGATGCCCTACCATAGCAACAAAATTGCGTTGCTATGCAAAAATAGCCAAAAGATGTTTTTTTTTAGGCAGTTAGCATGCAGAACTGAAAGCCTTCACATTTGACAAACAAAAATTCCTTTCTACGAATGAACACTGTTATGACAATTTTTAAGCAAATTTCCCCTTAACGCCCATTGTCCGTTTTAGTTTAGTTTCAAACAGTGCTGCTTTAGGAAGGTAATCACTGTTTATATTCCTTAACAAATTGTTTGTTTTATTAAACCCTAGAAAAACTATTCACCTTGATACAGCTGCACCATGAAACATTCGCATTTGATTTGATTCACGTTTACATTTTCCCCCGATTTCTGATATGTGACAATATGATCATTAGTGTGTTCCATTCAATTTTATTACATATTTGGTTACATATTATCTACAGATTTTTCTCTACACGGATTTAAACTTTTTTTTCCTGTGAAAAGTAAAACCTAGAAAATCTAAAAGAAAAGTTTGTTCAAACGTTTATAAATTTGCACCGAGGTTACAGTAGATTGAGCTGCGGGAACCATAGCTTCTAGGCCGACTTTTTTTTTTTTTATTGTTATCGGTCCATAGATTATTTTTTTTTAAAGATCGGGCCTAGAAGCTACGGTTCCCGCAGCTACAGTAGATTTTGAGTAACAGGGATATATATTTGATTGTTTACCATACTTTAATCAGAGATAACAGTACCTCTTAAATCAAAGATCTTGATGTACTTGGAGCCCAACCCTGCTGCAAATGTCTTGGAGTCCTTTTGGAACCAGGCGAGGGACCCTGTAGTATCACCCGGACCTGTCAAACAAACACAAAGGTCAGAACAGTTCAAATAGGAAAAGATCAAAATCAGCTAAAGGGAATTGAAATGTAACAGAAGGTCAATTCTGTCTTTGCGTATTGCAGAGTTATCTTCTCTTGTGAGCAGGTATTCATTGTTACGTCATTGGTTTGTGAGAGTAACGTCATCAATTTTTGAGAAAACGACGTAATTTTCTCACAAAAACCAATGACGTAACAATCAATACCTGGTCACAAGAGAAGATAACTCTGCAATTCGCAAATACAGAATAGATAAAGATGAGGACCTCAGCTTCACTAATATCTAAGCAGTCCTAAAAACACTGGGCTTGATTTGTGAAGTTGTAAATGATACTTTGGCATATATACATTAGACTTAAATCTTGCTCCAGAATCATGAATTGTTTTAATTTTTAGTATGTAAATGTACATAAGTAAAAGCAATCCTTTAGGACATAGGTAGTAGTTTCAGATCACTGAAATTGGAATACTGATGTTATCTAACACTGCAGACAGAAACCTGACTTTACTGACACCTGACTTTACTGACACCTGACTTTACTGACAGATGGTTATTTTTAACTGACAAATGATTTTATGACACCTGACTGATTTTACTGACAACTGACTTTACTTATGACTGGCATAACTGACACCTGACTGGTTCTACTGATAACCGACTGTACTGAAACTTGACTGGTTTTAAAAACAACATCAAACCAGTTTTATTGACAAAGACTTAACTGATGCTTGACTGGTTTCAGTGACATCTGATTTTTCTGACACCTAACTTAAATGACAACTCGTTTAACTGAAAACTGAATTTATTAACATATGACTGATTTTACTGACAACTGAATTCACCGACATCTGACTAATTATAATGACAACTGAATTTACCGACATCTGACTGATTTTACTGACAACTGAATTTACTGACATCTGACATTGCTGACTGTTTTTATCAATGGACGACTTATGTCGCTAACCACTGGTTTCTTTGTCTTAATACTGGCTTTACTGACACAGTACCATACCAGACCAAATATTTAAGTCATTTAGATGTCAGTAAAGACAGATTTCATTGTAGTTACCCAGTTCTGTGATAGGCTTGGTGATGACGCTGGATTCACTAATGGAGGAGCTGTAACGTTGTCGCTCCAGACTAGAAGTGATCTCACTGCCCGGCTTGGCATGGATATCCCAGATCAGGATACAGGGGTCACTCCTGTACTTCTCTAGACCCTCCGCTATCTGGCAACACAACAGCGACATCAGCATAAAATACGTATTGCGACACACATACCACATAAACAGGGGTACGTACAGCACTTTGATATAAGATGATGGAACTTTGTGGTCCAGATATTAAAATTCCACAACAACTTAACATACACAAGGTGTGTTTTAATGTTTATTTCCTGAGGAAGTGTTTGGTATGTTTGTGTTTTACATCCTATTTACAGCTATGGTCATTTAAGGACGTGCCAGGTTTTGGTGGTGGAGGAAAGCCGGAGTTCACAGAGAAAAACCACTGACTTACGGCCAGTATCTGGCGACTGCCCCATGTAGGTCTCGAAACCACGACCTAGTGGTAGAGAGCAAGGGGTAGCAGATTGCCAGACGCCTTAACCACTTGGCCACTGCGGCCTGAGGAAGAAGAAATGTTTCAATAACAGAATGGATAAAACCGTGTCAAACATACTTCTTTAAATTGGGTGACTTTCCTTTTGTATGAGATTGATCTTTACTTTTATCATGTTTCCAGCTATAAGGTACAGGACTGTGTTTCAGATCTATTGTTATTGTCAAATTACTCAAATCTACATAGTTACCAAATTGGTTTCCACGGGATTCCATGCCAAGTATGCACATGATCTGCTGTGTTTGGGACCTGAAAGGTTCAGTAATATTTTACTTTTAAATTTCCAAAATAATAGGAACAATTAAAACATTCATATCATTCCAGTTCATTTTTCAACGGTTGAAAACGGTTAAAAGCCATATATACGTATACACAAATGTGGATAAAATTCTGAAAACTTTTTGTGTAAAATATATAACACTTACTGAATTCTTTTCCAACAAGATCACTGCAACCTGGTTGTCCAAAACTAAAATTGAATATGAAAAAACATGAAAGAATAAAATAATAAGGCATACCAGTAAATGATACAAAATTAATACTGAAATACATGTTGTGAAAGATTCTTAATTTTAATCATAAAACAATATTATAATATCACCCCTTTTCTTCTGTCACTTGCATTTAAATTTTTCCAATGTTTGCTACCTAGACAGAATAATTTTGTTACCAGGACGGAATGATCTTGTTCCCTGGTTGTTACCTGGACAGAAGTATCTTGTTACCTTGACAGAATGATCTTGTTACCTGGATAGAATGATCTCGTTACCTGGACAGAAGTATCTTATTACTTGGATAGAATGATCTTGATACTTGGACAGAATGAGCTTGTTACCTGGACAGAATGATCTTGTTACCTGGATAGAATGATTATGTTACCTGGATAGAATGATTATGTTACCTGGACAGAATGATCTTGTTACCTGGATAGAATGATTATGTTACCTGGATAGAATGATCTTGTTATCTGGACAGAATGATCTTGTTACCTGGACAGATTGATCTTGTTATCTGGACAGAATGATCATGTTACCTGGACAGAATGATTTTGTTACCTGGACAGAACAATAATTTTACCTGGACAGAACGATTTTGCCATTTTGCTGTCCGACAGCTATTAGATTATCCTGCTCATCTCTGCCAGGGTACCAGGCAATAGTCTGAAAGCAAACAGAGTCCTGTCAATAAAGTATCCAGGTACTGATAATAACTTATTAAAGAAAACAAAAAATACAAACACTTTCATAATATTTAGAATAACTTTTTAAGGATTTGTAAATACCTAGAATGTTAGTCACAGACAAATACTTAACGAATGTTAACGAAATTTACATATCTCATAAAACATCTTAAGACACTTATTTCTTGGTCTGAAGTAGATTTTTTCCCCCAAAATTTTAGCCAATTTTCACCCTTTGGATCCACCTCTTAGACACAAGAGTGGGGTCAGAGTCTAAACTTGCATACCATCAAACTTCCACTCATCAAAGATAATTCTAACCTAGTTTGAATTATTTCCACTAGAAAATATAAGAAATATACAAAAGGTGGTATATTTTTGAATATCGAAGCTACTGGTAAATTTTAACACCACCACAGGGAAAAATGTTTGACCCCGGGGTAACATTTTTTTCCCATCTATGCAGCATATCTGATTTTAGGACCTCTTGGTATGAAGGAGAGAATTTTTGAATTTTGGTCAATTTCCCCTTTTGAGCCCTTCCTTGAAGACCCCTTGGGTGGGGTATGAACTGCATTTTACAATTTGAAACACTTTTCTACCAAGGACGATCCTCACCAAGTTGGAAAGAAATCCTTCATTGGTTCTTAAAAGAAGCCAAAAATAAAAAAAAAGTTTACCTATGTCGAATGAAAAGCAATAATCTTATGTGATTAAATAGGTCAATTGAGCAGAGCTCAGTCGACCTTAAAAAACACTTTACCTTTCAAAATGAATTTGTCGTTATTACATGTGATGTTATAGTGTATGTGATGGTGTTAATGTAAAAATAAAACTCCCCATGACATTTCAGAGACTTGTATGGTCCAGAGCATAAAGCTGACAGTGCAAGATAAAAAGCTTTCAATTGAGATAAAAAAAATTAAAAAAAGTTCATTTTTTTCTGGTTTTGAGATATCTCTTTTGACTATCCGTTTCTAAGGAAGTGCCAACATTTTAGTTTGTCCTTGTTTGGTATACCCAGCGAGACCCATACTTGTTACCAAGCAAGGACAAACTTAAATGTTGACACTTCCTTGGAAACGATAGTCGGAAGAGATGGAGAAGATCTCAAAACCAGAAAAAAATACTTGAAAAAAAAATATACTGTTTTTAATCTCAATTGAAAGCTTTTAACTTGCACTGTCAGCTTTAAGTAGATAACAACGTTAACCAAGCCGTCCTGTAGTCTTTACCAGATGGCCTTACCTTTAAATATTGTATTCCAGAATTAACAGCCACGTGGATGCCGTAGGTATGGTCCGACAGTCTTGTTGCTATTGAGAAAAGATTCAAATATACTGGAATGAATATATATATAAACCATCAATTATAAACCATGACATTTACTCAACCTTTTTTCTTTAGAACATTGTATAACATTGTTTCAAAGGGTGATACATGAAAACTAGTAATATGAAATAATGAAAAGTTATTATTTTTCAAAATAAATAGATCAATTACATCATTAAAGGACATACAATTACATCATTAAATGACATACAATTACATCATTAAATGACAAACAAATACATCATTAAATGACATACAATTACATCATTAAATGACATATAAATACATCATTAAATGACATACAAGTACATCATTAAATGACATACAAATACATCATTAAATGACATACAAATACATCATTAAATGAACCAAACCTTTTGCATGATTTGGGTCTCTTCATTAAAAAGTCTTTTGAACTGAGGATAAAGGCTGGCTTGCAAAGTGCTCAAGTTCAATATTATGCTTATATTCTGAGTACAGTTCTTATATTTTTGTTACTGTTGTGTTAATTTGCTGGTCGGTTCTATCCATATAATGTAACTTTCTTTCATTGCTAATGCAATAAAGTTGAATTGAATTAAGATTGCCAATATATCCTGTCATTTTTTGAGGGTTTGAAAATAAAAATTAAAAAAAGATCCTCACAAGTTTATAGCAGTAAATTCTGAATCTAAAATTCATACTGTACATTGAATGAGTTTATATTGAGTATGTACAACATACCTGGTTTCCCTTTGAAAGCATCGCTTTCACTGCACCGAGTGACCTTGTATAGATTGACCATTGACCCATAAGTGAGAAACAGGTCATTTTGAGTGGGTGACCACAGGATTTTTGTCACAGTAGACATGGTCAGTCGGTCAGTATTCCTGCTTACAGATCAGGGTGTTTTTTTTCATTTGGTCTTCATAATGTCTGTAAATTTATAAAAAAAAATGGTTATTCATGATTGTCATATTATAAAAGTCAAGTGCATTCCTTAAAATGCCTCAATATCTATATCAACCTATCACAAAAACTGTATATCTATATTCAGAATATATTTACCAATCTAAAATACATGTGTGTGTACATGTAGCTGTTTTTGAGCTATTTAAGAAGTTAAGTTGAATTATGAGAGATGTGCGCACAGCCCAAGCTATAATCGATATTCAGTCAATTGTTAAATATGAAAAAGATGTGGATTAATTAGGTTGCCTTACAAGCGTCAACTGTAGGGAATTTCCCTTTAGCTCAGCGGTAGAGCATCGGGCTAGAGAGTCAAGGGTCGCGGGTTCCAGCCCCAGCGACGGCACTATTTTTATCACTATTCCTCGTCCTATTACAAATACAGCTCAGAGACATAATAAAAATAACTTGAGATACAAAGAAGTCCACATATGTGTACATTTACTATCTCCAGATCATAAAGTTTCACCAGTCTTTGGTTGTACGTTTTTGAGAATATGAACAAAATAGTCAACATTTTAATAGACTAAAGATTTATTTTTTCTATTTTTATGATATTTGTCTTTTTTAATCTTTACATAAATAATGTACACCTATATATCTAGTCAGAAAAGAATTGAACTATTTATGTTGAAATCAACAATGAATTTTAAGACAACGAAAATGAGTCAAAACATAATTTTTTTCCGACTATGTTGGCCTAGTTTATATTTATGACTAAAACTTATAATAGTGAATATCATTCATCTATGATGTACAATGTTAATTCTAAATCAATAAAGGTTTATTAGCATTATAATAATACTGGACGCAGGCATATACCTACATATCTCAAGATCACAATATGTTCATTACTATCCAGATGTACAATAATGTATGTGGTTAAAAAAGCATTCAGGTTGCAATCGCCCCAATGTTTATCCAATCGGGATTCAAATGTATTGACTGTTGCTTGTTGAGTATGCTAATTGTTCTTTCCGCTAACGATATTATGTCCAGCCAAGTGATTATATTTTAGTTCCAAATTATTCCAATAATTGTCCAGTCCAATTTCAAATTCCCTGATTGTGTTTGCTTGTACGACCTCCTCAGTTTTTTTTTATTCCAAATGTCATTATGATCCATTCCGCGATTGTTTGCTGACAAGGTGACAATGATAGATCCAAAAAGAATTACCACTAGTCGGCTATTTTTTCATCGGATAGGATTATGCTCACTTCGGCGCCAGTCAAAAAGATTTCGCTCTAAAATTGTATCGTGCAAAGGTGCATAGGAAGGGGGCGAAATTGATCAAAATTCATATATAAAAAAATACAACTACTTCTATGCTTACGTTTGTATCAGTTGACAGCAAGTATCTTTAAAATGAAATACTTTCATTTGTATCATCAAAATGTTAAATGAGTCTTCAAACCCGTGTAGAAACAGAGAACAAATCAGTTAAAAAACCTTCTCCTTGCCGTTTCGTTTTGAGCGGAAGTCAACACGATATTTTAATTTACGATAGTCGTTCACAAATCATAAGATTCTGACATGATCATAAATAAGCATATTAATAAATGATAAGTTATTAATATTTCACATAAATGATTCTAACTGAATTTTAATAATACTTTAATATTTATAATATTAAATGTCGTAAACGAATTTACCATAAAGTGAGCACTTCCGGCGTCATGTTTCTAAGCGAAATTGAAGTTTCTTCGAGATGAAAGACATGGGTTATATCGTTGTTATCTACGGACTTGTGTGGTTATATAACTTCATTAATGTCAACTGATACCTTGTGACTTAATACATCATGTCGTCAAATTCAAGAAACCCGAAGGACATCAGATCCGTTGTAGAGGACAGTGATAAGGTGACGCCTAAAAGGCTTTTACTCTGGGTATGACCCGTGGGAGGACGGTTCCCGCATTTCCCTGCTCCGTGTGGTGGTTTGATATTCCCTAGCGTTGCGACCAGAGTGTAATTAAGCTGCTGCTTTGTATGATGTCATTTTGCATGCAGAGCGCATATCATTGTTGAATCAGGGGTGTGCAATTTATTATACACTGCTTTCAGTTGGCATTCATACAAGTCAATATGAACGCCAACTGAAACTTGAAAAAAAATCCATTGGTCGTCACTTTTGCATTTTACCTCTTCATGTTTGAAATTCAAGGAAAATACTGCTTCATGGAAATTAGATTTCATCACTGGTACAGGACATATATATAAATCATGGAAAATGTACAGAGATGAAAGTATTTTTCAATATTTAGTTTACTACTGTTCGTACGACATTCATTTTTACACTGATTAATAACATGAAGCATGCTTACTCTTTGTATGATAATCATCAAGATTCATGCAAAATGTGCTGGCTTTATACATTATTTTAAAGTGTGGTGTGAGTAGATTTTAATCCTTAAGCTTTCAGTCCCATAATTATCACTTACTGAATGATGATCATCTTTAGTAAGACTGAAATCAGACCATTTAAGTGATTTATCAGAACAGAACTTTTCCTTTGATGACTTTCCTCTACTCCCATCCCTCACCCTTCCCACAGACCACAGAGTACATAACATTAAATAAAAATTCTTTGATGATTTGCCATTTATATGTGTGGAAATGTTAATTTATATTCATAAAGTTCAGTCTAAATATTAGATTAAAAGAAATTTGACTTTTAATATGGCTGATGTTGTAACCATGTTCTGGTAAATATTTAGTGAGTGTTGGAAAATGATTCTAGTAATATATGGTGAAACATTAAGAATAGCCTGGTTTTTTTTTACATATTGTATTTCATTTTGCAATATCTGGCTATAGCTATTATGCTTACAAATGCTCAATATCATTTTAGGTAATGCTTCATAGCTTGCATCATTGCATACATGTAGTACATTTGTATTATGTGAAGTGTAGTAGTATTTGTTTTTTAATTTAACCGTTTCATATAGCCAAAACCTTTTCTGCTACTTAAGGACCATCCTCTACACTCCAGGGGTTACGTTAACTTTTGCTCTCTGCACCCCTGGAATATGTCATAGCAAAATTGAAGGCTCAGTGTGCGCCACCTTGTTGATGAGACAAGAAGACTATTTTGATCCTTTGATGTTCATCAAAAGAATCTTGCGGTCACGTAATGGTAAAATTTAGAGGCTTTGAAGTCGGGTGTCGCTCTTTTGTAATCTTCAAAGTGCAGGTATCAGCCTAGTGATTGGTCAGGTTTTTTAACCCTAGACCAATCAAACAGCTTTCTTTGTGCCTTCAATTTTACTATGACATATATTCCAGGGGTGCAGAGTTAGCGAAAGTGAGCGTAACCCCTGGAGTATCGAGGATGCTTAAGGACATTCAATGTATAGCTATATTATAAACTTATGATCTATTGTATTAGGTACATAAGTAAACTCAGTGTAATGAGCCAATTAATACCTGTAAACATTTACCAGGTGTCATCCATCTAAATTAATTACCAGTCGGACAGGACGTTTGAAAGGTTTCTTATATATGGAGTGTTCTTTTGAGAATGAATTTTTGTCATAGTGAAGAAAAGTGTCCTCAATTTCAATAAAGTGTTTTTATTTTCTACCTAAATCTTACAGCAGTCGATACATGGATGAATTGAGAAATTTTAGTACCAGGCATATTTATACAAATTGGGAAAATATTCCCTTTTTTGAGGATTATTTTCTTTGGTTTTGGGGGAAACAAGGCAATTTTTGGCTGGGGGGAAGTGCCTGCCAGTGGCTGAAATAATGTAATGAAAAATAATTTCTTGATAATGTATGTCTTTGATGTAGTATACTAAACAATGAAATAATTTTCATTATATTTTGAATATATATATATACATATCTAAATTGTCATTTTCTATTTAGGACATGTCTGATATGCAGAATAACCTGTCCAAACTTAAGGGATTATCGGCTGATGATAAGACAGAAAAGGCCATGCTTCGCTCTCGTATTGACGAACAGTCTCAGTTGATCATGATTCTGAAACAGCGTTCAGACGAAGTCGCATCCAAAACTAAATCTGTGGACAGAATCAATGAGGAACTTATCAGCTTCCGGGATTCATCTAAAGGGATGTTGGACGGAGAGATCAGGAAATACAATATACTCAATGCTAGGTTTGACGACCTGGCGTCCAATCATCAAGAAATGATTAAGATTAAAGACGAATACAAAAGAGCAAATAGAGACCTGCGAGAGGAAAATTCTCGTTTAAGAGATGAAAATGCTCGTATATTTTCTGGTGCTATTGCTGAAAAGGAAGAACAGATAAGTGAACTAGAGAAAAAACTTGGAGGTCTCAAGGAACAGTGCAACACCCTGGAACATCGCAACAGGTATTAAGTATTATAACGTCGGAACAAATATTAATGTCATGTAAATCAAATGGTTTTCGAGAGAACACCCTTTTTATACGACCGTCAAATTTGACGGTAGTATTATGGTATGGCGTTGTCCGGCCGGCCGGCGTAAACTTTGTTTGTCCGGCAATCTCCTCCTACATTTTTCGACTGATCTACATGTATTTGAAACTTGGTATACATTATAATTATGATATGAAGTTGTGTCTCCCTTAAAAGAATTTTGATTCGACAATTTTTCCAATAGTTATTGCCCTTTGTTCATTTCAGTATTTGATTTTTGTCCGGAGATCTCCTCCTATATTTTCTGACCGATCTCTTTCAAACTTGGTAAATATCATAATCATGATATGAAGTTATGTCTCCCTTAAAAGAATTTTGATTCAATAATTTTTCCAAAGGTTATTGCCCTTTGTTTATTTCAGTATTTGATTTTTGTCCAGCAATCTCCTTCATTTATCACCGGATCTCTTTGAAACTTGGTATACTTTATAATCATGATATGAAGTTGTCTCCTTTAAAAGAAATTTGATTCAACAATTTTTGCAAAATTTATTGCCTTTTGTTCATTTCAGTATTTGATTTTTTGTCCGAAGATTTTCTCCTACATTTTTTATAGCATATCAGCTAACCAATCTTAGAATGATGCAGATATTATTTCATTGTAAGAAAGTATATATATTGCATTCAACGGGCGTATTTTGTTCCGCCCCGCGGTACTCTTGTTTCTGATAGGAACAGATTTCTTTCATTATCTGACTAGGATTGTCTCTACAGATATATATATTGTGAACATATACATCATCCTTGATACTCCAGGGTTACGCCCACCTTCACTCTCTGCACCCCTGGAGTATGTCACAGCAAATTTGATTGGTATCAGGTAAAAAAAACTGGCCAATCGCTAGGTTTATACCTGGGCCTTTAAATATTACAGAAGAGCAAAATACGACTTCAAAACCTGTCAAATTTACCATTAGGCTATCAAGAGATTCTTTAAATTTTACATCAAAGGATCAAACTAGTCTTTTCATCTCATCCACAAGGTGGTGCACACTGAGCCTTCAATTTTGTCAATACGTATCCCAGGGGTGTACTAGAGAGCATAAGTGAGCGTTTTAACTCATGGAGTATCGAGGATGGTGATACATTATATCCTACTTATATACACTGTTGGGTACTTATATACACTGTTGGGTACTTATATACACTGTTGGGTACTTATATACACTGCTGGGTACTTATATACACTGCTGGGTACTTATATACACTGCTGGGTACTTATATACACTGCTGGGTACTTATATACACTGCTGGGTACTTATATACACTGCTGGGTACTTATATACACTGCTGGGTACTTATATACACTGCTGGGTACTTATATACACTGCTGGGTACTTATATACACTGCTGGGTACTTATATACACTGCTGGGTACTTATATACACTGCTGGGTACTTATATACACTGCTGGGTACTTATATACACTGTTGGGTACTTATATACACTGCTGGGTACTTATATACACTGCTGGGTACTTATATACACTGCTGGGTACTTATATACACTGCTGGGTACTTATATACACTGCTGGGTACTTATATACACTGCTGGGTACTTATATACACTGCTGGGTACTTATATACACTGCTGGGTACTTATATACACTGCTGGGTACTTATATACACTGCTGGGTACTTATATACACTGCTGGGTACTTATATACACTGCTGGGTACTTATATACACTGCTGGGTACTTATATACACTGCTGGGTACTTATATACACTGCTGGGTACTTATATACACTGCTGGGTACTTATATATACTGCTGGGTACTTATATATACTGCTGGGTACTTATATACACTGTTGGGTACTTATATACACTGCTAGGTACTTATATACACTGCTGGGTACTTATATATACACTGCTGGGTACTTATATACACTGCTGGGTACTTATATACGCTGTTGGGTACTTATATACGCTGTTGGGTACTTACATACACTGCTGGGTACTTACATACACTGCTGGGTACTTACATACACTGCTGGGTACTTATATACACTGTTGGGTACTTATATACACTGCTGGGTACTTATATA